CGTAAAACCTACAAGTACGCTTTGACCGTAGTCGACATAGGTTCGAGGTACAAAGAGGCCGAACCACTGACGAGTAAAACTGCCCAACAAGCAATCTAAGCAATTAAATAAATTTACAAAAGGTCGCCTCTGACTGGGCCAAAGTTTGTCATGGTAGATTTGGGGTCGGAATTTAAAGGCGAGTTTAAAAAGTTGACGGCAAAACACGGGGCAGAAATTCAAGTGGGGAAGCTGGGGGTTCACAAGTCGCAGGGAATTATCGACCGGTTTAATCGCACTTTGGCAGAGCGTTTCGGCCATCAATACGCACAGGAAATGTTAAATGTGGGCGAACGTAACGTAGAATGGGCGAAACGTCTGTCCCCAGTGAAAAAATCGCTAAACGAGGAAAACCCGCGGTTCATTGGCAAAGAGCCTCCAAACGCCGTCAAATTAGACCGGGTGAAACAAACGTCTAGTGCACTCGAAAAGCGAAGCGCGCCAAAAGGCCCTCGCTTCAGACATATTAGTTAGATATTTTATACTACGCGGGCGAGCAAGAAGGTGGTACCGTTAAAAGAGCTACAGATCCAATTTGGGCCGTGGACGTGTATCAAGTGGACAAACGCACGAGTCAATTTAAATGGGTAAACGGCAAGTGCGTGAAAACGGGGCCTACTTTGTATTATTTATTAGACGGGCCAAAGCGGGGTTTTGTTAGGGAAGAACTTAAGTGATACCTGAGGACACCGAATTACCGCCAGCTTGAACTGTATGATAATGTCCGTAGGCTTAAGTGTCCACGCCATTTTTTAACACGTAACGCTTCGTGTCCAAGGATGACAGACTAAATTTATTTTGTGAGACTGTGAATAGCAGATGCTTGTCAGATCTGAAAAGCTGTTATTTATTAAAATACTGCTTTTTTTCAAACACGCACCTCTTGTAGGCTTAGTGTGACAACCTTTTTTCGGTTACGACTTTTGTAACGCCTTTTGCCTTTTTCAAATTTTGTTGCTCGGTTAATGTAGAGTACATCTTTGGTCTAATACAAACGACTTCCGAAATTGTTTGACCTCCAAATTCGTCCTTTATCTTACCAATGACCTTTTTATTTTTTCGGATCGTAAAGTTTATGATCTGTTGGGTAATTGTTAAAGTCAAATAATTTGCGCTTTTTACGCAGGTACTTGTTTAAACTGTCCGTTTGAATTTGAACGAGCAGGCTGTCCGTATCGGTATATAATACACAGACGTGTGGGCTGAAATCGGCTTTTAACTCGTTGTAATAGAGATCGTACATTAAAGTTTTGGAAAGGTTTAATATGCTTACACCGCAGTATACCGGCTTATTTAAATTTGTTTTTATGCGGTACATTTCGACAAATGAAAGCTCGCACTCTTGAAACGGGGTAGTAGTTTTATAATTGGGTTTAAAAGTTAGTCGCTTGTACCGATCGGCATCTTGTACATCTCTCAGTAAGTGTCCGTCGATGGGGTAACGCACATTTTCCATCGTCTTGTTCATCATTTGAAAAATCGTTGTCAAAGTCGGACTTTGCCAATTTACGTAGCTCTGTGTTTTTGTCAATGTAACTTTTCATCCAAGATGCCTGTTTAAACGACATTGCTTGGCGAACTTGTTTTAGCCGTAAACCGAGCTCCAGATATTTTTGTGATGTGCGATAATGTACGACATACATGTATTTGTTTTTGGTACTCAAAGTGGATACGAGTTTATCTATGGACATAACCCACTCTCCGTTTGCTATAAAATCTTTCTTGGTAGTCGGACAACCATTCGTTTGGCACAGATAAATTTTCGGGTGCCAGTGGGAAATCGTTGTGCTTGTTGTGCAAATGTTTGGATAGTCCAAAGTTACTTCGAGCACGTACCCTTTTGACGCCTTTGGGGAAAGTTTCGAGATATACTCAGGAGTAAATTTGCCCGTGTCGTGAACCCATCGAAAGTGTTTAAAGGGCAAAGGCTGACTCGTGGGCCATCTGTATAAATTATTCGCGTCTAAATACAGGATACGTGACGTCGGTTTGCTGGGGTCGTAATCTTTTAAATCTGGATTATCGGCTTTGGCGTAACCTTTTGCTCCAACGCTCGAAATGCCACCTCGTTTGGCCCTTTCAAAAATAGATGTTTGTCAACGTTTGTCAAAAGCTCCAATTCGATGCCAGAGTGCTTTAAAAGAGCATCCCACGATAACCGAGGCGAGGTGTAATAATTGGCCGGGTCTAAATCGTAATGTATTTTGCAGACTTGTCGAAAGTTTTCAAATACGCCCGCTTGTAACAATACGTCCATTTCAACGTGTAAATCGTGGTAGTCTCCGATATTTCGACAACCAAAGGCTTGCCATACATTTTGGGCCCGGGTATATTCTTCGGGAGTAACGGACTGCTGCCTCAACGAACTGTAAAAAGCAGCTTGAGGAGACAGACTTGTTTCTCCAAATTTATCGAAAGAGTCTATATATTCGTATGGATAAACAGTGTGACTCTTTAGTTTTGTAAATTGGCCTCTCGCAGATTCAGCATACGTGGCATTCGTCGTATAGTTTTTGTAATTCGTGAGACCAGGTTAGGGCATGGGATCGGCAAATGTTTCGTTAATTGTGGCGACTTCTCTGGACAGCGATTGCACAAATTTAACTGCCGCGTCTGGGCCTCTGTAAGTCTCGCGACTGATACATACGCCGTCACATCTAACAATTGCATATGAATAGCTGCATGGATTGTGAATTTGTGTTTTAACCGTGTTTGTGTGAGTAGGAGGTAGGCACTCCAAAACAGATTCGAAATCTGAGTAAAAGACAGAAGGGGCGTCTTGTTTGTTTTCATAGTTTTCAAACTTGAGAATGTTTTTGCCTTTTTCGGGGAGTACAACCTTGCACGCTGCTGTGTCCATTCTCCTTGATGCCTGTCTAGTCTTTCTTGCGTTTGGAAGTGAGATAGGCATTTGAAACACCAATAAGATTTGCCATCGTGTTTATTGACGTAACTCATCAACCGAGAAAAGTTCTTGATCCAGCAATAATGGCTCTTTTCACCTTAGGTAATGTAGAGTAAATTGACGGGCTTGCCTGCGCGTTAAGTTTTGTAAAGTATGTAAATACCGTCTTTCTCTGAGTAACCAAATACCTTAATTGCCAAGTTGTCTTGTAATTCAATTCGTGGAATCTGTGACACAGGAGTTGAAAAGTCCACGTCTGTGAAATTTAAACCGTCTTCTTTGTTGTAAGTCGAGGTACGTTTGTCGTGTATATAATAATTTGTATTGGTTTCCAACTGATGATTTACGTGATCTGAATATAATTTTAAAGCAGCCCTCAACGCCCAGTGAATACACTCTTGGTCTTTATTTTGGACCTTGACAATTGCCTTCTTATCTGCTAAATATTTTGGCAATGGAATGTAAGTCGCTCCGACCAGGTTATGTTTAGCCACCTTGATTAAAACGCGACTACTTTACCAAACACCCAACCCGAGCCACGCTGTTCGTGAGCTTTGACATCCTCGATGTTTGGCAAATTGTTGGCTTAAAGCTTCTTTAATTACTTGTTTAGAAAAGACCGCATTGTTTGTACTCATAAATGTGAAAACGCCTAACTTGGTCTCTACTCCGGGCTTTTTCACTTTGAACTTTACCTTTATGGCCATTTGCAATTTGTATGAACCGATTTCCTTAAACTCGGCTAATGCTTTCTCCTGAATAAACTTTTTGTAAAAATCAAAAAAGTGGATCAAGTCGTCAGCAAAAAGGGGGGCACCAGTTCCCAGTTTCTATAATTGCCTTTAAATCGCCTGATTCTTCGAATGTTTATTTCTTCAATTGCTTGCGGCTTTATGTGTGATTTAATCGCGGTGATCAAGTCTGTTCGCAATATTTTTCCTTTTGTTCCGTGGCCGTAAAGTCGAAGTTGTTACGTTACCTTGTGCTATTTGTAAAAGCTGGTGATATGATTGGTGGGTGAGATTTCTAAATTGCCGTTGACTCGCTTGAATTGCTTTTACGAGCTCGGGCTTGGCGTGTCTTTTTTTAGCGGGTGGCGGTAATGGTGTGTTGTATTGTGTGACAAAGTCTGCTAGAAACGATTTTTTAATCGCCTAAAATCTGCCAAGACAGGTCGACGTTGTGGCTTAGTTTTTCTCTCTATTTTAATATAGGTTTTTAAATTTTATCTCATTTTTTCTCAGTGCGTTCGGGGAGCCAGGGAAGTCCCGTTTTGGAGGTCACGAGGGCGGGGAAGTCCCTGCTGGGCCTGGGAAGTCACGTGAAAAGGGGTGAGAGGTCAGGGGGTGTTTGGCCTGGTAAGTCACGTGAAAAGGGGGGAGTCCCTTGAAAGTAGGGGTGAGAGGTTCTTTTTGCTTTTTTGACCCCGGTTTTAAAAATGGTGAAAACTGTCGATAAGGCATTGGAGGGTTTTTTTCGAAAATGAAAAGTGGTTTTAAAAAGTTGGTGTTTTGGACCGTTTTTGAAAAGGGTCGATGAGGTATAGGGGGTTTTCGTCGATGAGGTCATCGAGGGTTTTTGGAAAAGGGTGACAATGGAGGCTGGCTGACATCTGTCCCATCCCCACTACTCATGCATCCTTCGGTTTGCGACAAACATGGAACCTGTCCCGTAGAATGGAAGATTTATGGCTTAAAAATTGTTTTCCTTTGCGGTTATATTGCAAACATTTTAAGTCATAGGGAAATCCTAAAAATTCTTCACAATCCGCTTTAAGGTTTTTCTCACTACAACAAAGTAGGGGGATAATTCAATAGCCCATCCCCCATGCAACTCAAACAGCGGGGGATTTTCGGTGACACAGAAAATGATCTGTTGCGCTCAGTTTTGCTCGGCAATGAAATATATATGTTAATGTCACTTCATGAGATTATTCGTAACACTGTGCTCAAGCACTGACCTATGCAAACTAAACGTCGTTAGCCATCGTAAGGATACTCGAGAAACCACTATGTTCAGTATACGACCGGGTGACACGAAAGAGGTTAATGCATACCTTCTGTGAAATCTTGACTTGTGACTTTGACCTTGTGGAATTTTGTGTTGAGAAGATGTCTCTGAAGAGTGTCCACAGAGTCAAAACATATTATGGGATCCTGTGAGTACTCTGACACGTGACGGTGGTGGGCACTCATCAAACCATCACATTCGTAATCAGATAAGAAGTTCTCAAAGAGATAAACTCTGCAGGCAAAAAAGTAAATCCAATACACACGCGTCATGGTAAAATGTTGTCTTAAGCAAATCAGAAAAATTAAGCCATTTTTGTGAGGACAATGCCACTGAGGGCGAAAAAGTAATGCCCGATCCAGTAAGCACCGCCCACTGCGTGCACATTGACACTATCCGGTTCGTAAGTGATATCGTCACAAAGACGAACGCGCCACGATTTGCAAACTCCCATTGGACGGTCGCTGAAGTTGCACGTTAACTTCCGGTTCCATGGTTCAATGTAAACGGCGACCATCAATGCATGTAACTCTATAGACCCGTCGTCGATGACGTCACGGTTTTGTTTATCGGCCATCTTGGATTATACATGAGACGTCAACACCCTTACTTGTCAGCTGTGTATACAACTCCACACGCGCGGGAAGTTTTGAACTGGAGAGTTTTGTACTGTAGGTTGTTGAAAATTGCCAACTTTTGTGCTGTATTTGGCTGTGGAAACAGGGGGGATTGTGACAAGAAATCTTTTCATCGTTTACCTGCTGTAGTGACAAGAGAAGGTTGACGCAACTCACATACTTTCGCTAAAAAGACGGACGGAATGGTTGTCAGGGGTTTCCAGAAACATCAGTGACAGAAACTTACAGTACACGCGAATATGCTCCGATCACTTCATATCTGGTGAGTAGCAATGAACCTTACTTGGTATAAATTAACAAAATTTTATTGCACTTTGAAAATATGTGTAGGATGTCCAAATTGGTTGGCTAAATTAGTAAGAGTTATGACTCGATATCACCCCGTAATAGTATACTTCCCCGATTCCCGATAGTGCCTGTACATGTAGGCTTTCAAGGCTACATGACTCAGACATGTCAGAGCATGGAGTTGGTTATACTCATTCCTGACACTGCTTTCCAAGTCATCCAGCTACATTCTTTCATATTCGCCATGGATCCTGGAAAATATGAAAAGGCCCCAATACAATGTAATGAGAAAGAAAACACCCAGAAATAATTTTTTCCAGCTCAAAATATGCCACCAGGGAAGCAAATTAGATGCAATCAATGGTCAGTTGACCATAGTTGACAGTGAAATTTAGCAATGGAGAATTTCAAAACATAATTAATCTAAGAAAACTCTAAATTTTTGAGACCAGTCCCATTTTATACGTCAAGTGTGTAAATAGATGACTGTATATTTCTTTCCCTCGAAATTAATACGCAAATATCCAATTTTTTACTATGTTTATGTTGGCCATGTTTTTATGAGCCCTTCTTTTTGTCCATATTTATTTGACATTACAGGAAAGCCATCAACACTGTATGATACCACTAATCCTGATTGGGCACCCAGCTTGAAGCTTGGACACAACAAGGTAGATAGTTGCTCAGTCGCTCGAGACTCAGGTATGCAAGAAGTGTGAAGAGACAAGAGCAGAAATGCAAACATGATGCTGCGGAAGCTCTCTTACAGCTCGGGTCAGACCAAGAGACACAACCAGTGGATGATGAAAGTAAGCTTTCTAAAGCAGCTTGCCAAACTGACCTTGAAGGTAATGTTCTGTCTGCATCACAAAAAGAACTCCGGCGACTTTTGGAAGAAAACAGAACACTGAAAGAGCAGCTTGCCAACACCAACAAGTTTGATTAGGGAATCTTCAAAGGCAATGATGAAAATGGTAGGCATGACACAGGACTTCCAAGTTTTGCTGTACTAGTTGCACTTTTTAATTTTCTTGAAGTGTTTATACCACATACATTCTTGAACAGTTTAACTACATTTCAACAATGACATTTCACTCTAATGAAACTTCGGCTAAATCTTTCACATATGGACCTTGGAAACCGATTTCATGTACATAAGTCGACATCATCCAAATTGTTTTTTGAATATAATTGATACCGTGTACGCGAAGTAAAAGCCACTAATATATTGGCCGGATCGTCAACAGTTGATGGAAACCATGCCCATGTCATTTAAAACACACTTTGGTCAAAAAATAACTGTGATTATTGACTGTTTTGAGGTATTCTTAGAAAGGCCATCAAATCTTGCAGCACTATCATCAACATGGTCTTCTTATAAATCAAACAATACAATCAAATATTTGATAGGTATAACACCACAGGGTGTAATATCCTGCATCGGAGGGGTGGGGTGGCAGGGCAAGTGACAAATATGTCGTTGAACACAGTAGCTTTCTGTACAAATTGTGCGTTGGTGATGTGGTCATGGCAGACGGTATTTGATGTTTCTGACAGCATTGGAATGATGGGGGCTAAACTTCTTATTCCTACAATTAGACGTGACAGGCCTCGTCTTACAGGAAAAAAGTGGAGAAAACACGGCGTATTGCCAACTCAAGAATTCACGTGTGCAGTGACCGTGGTTTAAACTGAAGTGACGTTACACGTACGAACCGGATACGGATCCTTCTCCACTGCGTGTTCCAGCCGTGCGCATCATACGCGCGTGCACGCGCACGCATGGCGGACTTTTATGCACGCGTGTACTGGACATAAATCATGATTGTGACTGGCCAGAACCACTGATCTCACTGATTTCTATAATAAAATCTGGATAGCGCGTTGGCTGTTCATGTTGACGTAACCGACCGCCATATTGCTTCTCCCAAAACATTAACAACGGAACGGATATGTAAACATTGTACATGTAGGCCTACGTGCCACACGTTCTCCACCATGTCCACGGCCGGCGATTGCATGTTTATCACAGTTTTCCTCGGTCAGTTTCCATAAACGACAAACCCAAAGCCCGTCGTGTTGGGCAGTTAACTGCAAAAATAGGCAGGTCAAGCATTTCACCACTAAGTGACACAGTGAAAAAGAATGACGTTGAGACTTTAGTGCCTCATCAGCTGAAGTAATGGTTAGGCGGCCCACAGCATAGGCCTACCGAGTACCGTCATGACTACACGTCGATGTGAGAAGTGTTCGGACACGGGAATTGGGACAGTAGGCTTGGGGTTAAAAAATTGTCAGTTTTCCAGAACAAAAAAGGTAACTGTGTCAAAATAAAGTCTTTTTGTTGGCTCTGGGTACGCCTTGAGCACATACGGTCAGTAGTCCAAGAAATAACCTTGAAATTCGGCCCCGTACTGCCTACTGAAAAAAAACCTGGCCTGCACACACAACACAGCTCTGACAAGAAGCGAATAGACAGTCACTTTGAGAGACTTGACTACTACTAGAAAGCCAACGTCCATACCCCAGAAGTAGGCCTACTTTGTTAATGTAAGGGATTTTGTTTTGGGAATTTATCTTTACCTTCACTGAGAAAGAGATAGCAAAGCATTTCAACCAGTAGTGAATACTTCTGTTGCTCTAATGACACTATACTTCTGCAGCCAGTAAGGGCCCAGGAACAACACAACACCCTAGAAAAGTTCACGCGTAAACATTGTATAACATCATCGGTAAAGAAGTCTATTGTAACAAAAAAAATGGACAAGGAATTAAATCTCAAACATACAGGTCAACTTCCACCCTCTTTGACTGCATAATGTGTATGGTGGCGAGGCTCAGGGCACAGAGTGAATCCAGAGTCTGTGTGCCATTTATAAAGCTCACCTAATTGGGGATGCTAGCTGTAAGTAGGTTTGGAATTCTGCTGTTTTGGAAAGAATACAGAAACTTGCCTCCAGATTTTTCTTCAAATATTATCACAACATAACAGGTGACTTGTTGCGAAAGGTTGAAAGAAAAATTACTCTGGGACTGAAAAATTCCATGCTTTTCTAGGAAATCATTTGACAATTTTCTTGACTCCCCAAATATTTTACACACAACCACCAAAGATGAGTCTGGGCAGGGTACAATACTTTTTCCTTGTAGTTATGATGAAGTTCATCAAAGGCAAGACAACTTTTTCCCATATTTAGAATTTCCTTGGGGGCACTACTCTCATCTGAATGTGTGGATCATAAAACGAGGAGAGATAAGTGCTCGTATCAATTCAAAGAATCATGCTTTGATTAAGAATGACCAGACTGCTCCTTTTAAAGGGGGTGCCCTGTACCTGTACTGTTACTTTTTAACCTTTTTTCACCATCTACAAAATCTCAGCTGTTTTCGTAATTGGGAAGAAGCCTACACATATGGTAAATATAGCTTGTCATATTTCCACTTACTTAAAAATTCACTTGAAGCTCTGTATTGTTTCTTCGTGATCTGACATACATGTGTAAGCTGATTTTTCTGAGTATCTAACTTTAAGAACAATGTTATACTTGTAGTTCGTGCATCTTTTCTGCAAGATCTGATGTGTTACATTTGGATAGGCTATTGTTTTGGAAAAAATTTGAATTTCACTGCTACCTACTATGTGTATTCCCTGTGAACTGACCATGTGAGAAAACATGCTTTTGCAGCAGAACTTTAATTATTCACTTTTGAAATATAATTTTTCTATTTGTTTCGAGCAGAAGCATCCCCTCATCAGTTGAAAAGAGCTGTGTTGGTCAGGGGTGTTCATTTTGTTGGTAGCGATGCGACTATACTGTGTACACTTTACAGGCATTTGTGAGCCAGCTAAGTTCAGTTACTAAAGAAGCCTGCATTGCTTGGAAACTTGCTCCCTCTCTTGGTCCAGCTCGGGGCTCATTGCCCTTATAATCCATTTTGGAAGGGTACTTAGAATTGGTCGAAGCAAATCATGGTGTATATAGTATATATGAATTTATCAATTCATGACCTGTATTAAGTAGTGTGCATTTGTTGGATTAATTGCAATACTTGTGTGAGGACGTATTTTTCCTATTACAATGTTGTGTTGGCTCACTCTTACTGATGAAAAGCACCTCAGGTTGACTTAGTGTGCTCTTGGTCATTCAGTATATGTTTTTCCTTGAGCATTGCTCAGAGTGGTTCGATTCCACTGGTACTATGTCAATATTTCTTTGTTTTAAGTTATAATCAGAATTACTTTCTAATCTACAAAGTTACAAGTAAACAACAGATCAGTCCATGAAAATGTTGACTGGTTATTATACCACATGTACCAGATTTCTACCACATATGCACAACCATTTTGTAATTGCCAGGAACATGTCCATGGTAGTGAAATGGAGGAGGGGGATCAAAATATTGAACAGGGTTCAAATCATCAACATTGGGAGATGATGATCTAATTTTTTCGGGTTATTCAGTTCTGATTGAAAATCCCACATCTGCCATCTTGGATTATATTCCAGCATACTCCACATAAGCCCTATGTCATTTTTAAAAAGATGTTTACACTGTGTATAGTACATATACCAAAAATCTCTATGTGAATAGTCCAAATGGGCTTAGATGATCCTGTGTGCATTTCATGGGTTATAACATTCAGTGTTACAGGTCACAATTGTTGTGGCTTTATGTCCCTGGAACATTAAAAGAATATTCTCTTCCATAATGTACATACAAGTTTATGGAAATGGCCCCACAGGAGGTTGGAAGTGGTCATGTTGACTGTGTATTTGACGGAAAATCTGGTGTACATGTACATTAACCCTAACCCTCCTCAATCCTTCACCTGTTGGAGGATTGAGGAGTGTTAGGGTTAATTACAATTATTGTGTCCTTTTGTACATGATATATAAAAAAAATTATACTCCATGATTATATTCCACAAATATTATATGTATACATTGATTTATGTAAATAGCTTCACAGCTAGTAGGAGGAGGTCATGTAAATTTTTTTCATTTAAAAACATATATACATTGTAAATATTACAATTGTAGCCTCTTTTCTGACAAAAAATGAGGTTCACTTTTTTGTTTGGTTTTTATGTACACATACTGTTTGCCAGTCAACGGTACACACTCAAAAGATAATAAAGTGTTTATCTTCATTCTGGCCCAACGTCATTATTTCTTAAATTCCCCTTCTCAAATGTAAGTCGAGGCAATAAAGCTGTAAAAAGAATGCCCTTGGCTTATCTGCAGCAATTTAGGCCTATAGACAACTTTTTGTCCGAACAAGTGTTTTCTAAAATTTCATGCATGCCATGTCAGTGCTATCATGAAATGTCTCCAGTGTGTACTTGGTGTTGTTAGGCCCAAGTACAGCATAAGTCCCAACTATAGTTGGGACAGTCTCAACTGTAGTGCTGCAGCTGGGCTGGCCCTACTATTGTTAGCCAATGTCTGTGGGAAATGTCTCAACATTATCGAAGTCAATGTGTCACACACTTGACACAATTCATCTAAAATTCAGCACTTCACCTGTCATGTCTGTTCATCATCTAGCCTAGCCCTATGACCAGTGACATTACATTTGTAAACAACATTACATGTACTTTGCCACATGCTGGGCACATCATGCACACAGGACCTCTCTGCTGTAGTTGGGCTGGCCCAACTGTAACACTCTAGTTGAGACGGGCCCAACTATAGTTAGGACGGGCCTAGACCCGTAAACAGGGCCCAACGAATACTCCTCCCTCCTCCCAGGGGCGCCCTGTTTACTGGTCTAGAACGGGCCAAATTATAGTTGGGACTAATGCTATAGTTGGGGCGTAACAGTGTCACGGGATTGGGATGCTCAGACACATAGTCTTAACGAAACTCTTTCTCACCTTTAATTTTACATTAAAGAGAAAGAATTTGGAAAAAATTCCATGCGGACGCTGCTTGACACCTGCACTCTGTGCACAAATCCTAGGCTATGTTTTCTAAATAAATGACTTGGTTTTTCACTCCTAAATTGAACTTTTCTGGACATGTTTTTGCTTATATGTCACTGCAGGGAATAATTACTGGCGTAGTTAGAACTCTTCCCAGGAATTTACAATAAATTGTGTCAGTCGGACAATTACTGCGTGCACACCTAATGTTTAGTGACAGGCCTACCACGGAGGAAGGACATGTACACGTACATGAACACGCGACATGGCCAGCATCATGCCGGGGCTGTTTGTTTAGCCATGGAGGTAGAATCACCTCCATGGTTTAGCCATGGCCTAGGTCTCCGTTGTCCGGGCAAGCTACTTACTACACATCGTTACGATTCATTTGTGATTCTTGTATGACTCACTGAGAATGAAGGTATAAATTGAATAAAGACTTGTTGAAAAATGGTACTTTAAAAGCCAGCATGTGGAGAATACTGCGTCTCGTCAGATACGATGTACGTTAAAACTCGCCAAAATGGGAGTATCATTGCGGCCTGATCTGAGCGGTCGAGTGGTGGCGTCATTTTGTTTGTGCAGCACCTATTTTGCATGCGCTATCCAGATTTCATTATAGAGATCAGTGGTCAGAACACAACGGGGCGGGTTTAATGGATTGGTCTGTTATTCAAGAGGCCCGATCTTGTACTTGAATGCCTTATTAATCATAAAGAAAATAGTTTAATTTTTAAAGACTGTTACTAATCCCCGGCCCACCAACCAGAACAGTTAAATAGAAATCTGAACTGTCCGACATGCATCGAAGAATAGGAAAAGGCACATTTGCAGAGTAGGTGCATGAAAAATGAAGTTTGCATGGTTTGTACCATATCTTTAATAAGTGCATACGTATATATCGCATAAGTATATATCAGTTTCAAAAATTGTGGGTCAATGCTGTAAGCGCTTACTGACCGAATGGATGCTGCTCCTGGTCGCCCTTTGTTGCCTGTTAACTCACGAACCCTGACAGGCCGTCCTGACACTGTGATGTCCTTGGGTTGGAGCTGCTTCAAGATCGTTTCCTGGAATTCTTTCATGTGGTTGGGACCTGGTGCTTGTAATTCCTGATTGAACATATTTCGTGCCCCTAGTCGGTCAGATTCGCCAACCCTCTTGTCAGCTTGCTTCTGTGAACTGAGCGTTGCCTTTTGAATAGACAATTCTTGTGCATCGGCATCCGTAATGTGGAGACCACTATCGGGATCTTCACGCACTATGAACATTGTAGCAAGACCAATCGTTGCCACAGTAGCTGCTAGTATCAGGACCGTAACACTGTGGTGACGGTTAGCATGAGCGTTACCCGAGGTTTCATATTCGCCGCGCCCTTGCAGAGGACTTTGAGAGAATTGCCTGGACTTGACAGTCTTTTGTTGTTTTGCTGACGTTTTTGCCATTAGCTTATAAAAAGTAGTACAATCGTAGTATGCTGGATAAAAGCCTCCAACGGTAAGAATATGTTACAGGACTGTGGCAGCTGAATCCATTTGTTGCATCCACGTATACACTGTATCATATGTTTACTGTTGTTCGTTGATCCATACTGCTTTATCGCCTTTTGAACTTTGATATCCGATTACATTTGGTCGCGATAAGAGACTCACAGTACAGATTTTAATACTTATTACTAAAAATAATACTACTTATTTTAATACTTATATTAACTGATAAATTGACATGCCTCCCAAGTCAATACTGATACTGCAAAATCTGCAAACCCTCTCCTCTCCTCTCCTCTCTTCTTCTTTGTACAGTTTACTGAGCAATATTGTTTGTGTAAGGAGGATGATTGTAATCTTCTTTATGTACAATAAATATACTCTCACGTAATGTCGTCAGACGTGAAGTACATGTACGTATATCAATATTCCACAGCAATATCTCATATGCTGGAGAGAAATACAGAATACTTTTTTCTACCGATGTTGCCAAGTATTTTGCCTTTGCATTCTAAAAATCAGGTCCTAAACACCGGCCAAAGTCTTCCATAAATCCCAAGAATAGGCCTATGACAGAAAACCCTCCTCTGGTGACTACCTTAACTCACCCCAACTCACCCATCAAATCATCCCTTTCCCAACATCCACCATCCCCATCCCTGTCCCTCCCCCGAACCCCGATCTCCACCAACATCCCCCTCCCCCGAGCTGGACGTATACAAACCAACTTAGCCAATCAGTATCTGGGGTTCTCCCCCGTTCCTTGGAGAGTGTTCTTTTCAGAGGCTGTTGCGAAGCGAAAGCCTTCTCCTTCTCCCCTCATAAAAGACCACTCAAATTTAAGACTGTGTGCCCCCGAAAAAAATCGCTAAACGATCTAGTTCTGAAACTAGCACGACCTTCTCTTTAACAGGCCATAATTAATAACATGCACACCCCATCTTCACTGAGACCGTCTCACGACGATACATCTCATGAAATAACACGTGTCAGTGAAATCGAGATGGACAATTCCATTATGTAATGAACAGAAACGTTGTAATAACATTATGCAAATGCGCCCAACTTGATGTTTTATCTGACATATTAAATTGATGTTATCTAATTGTTTTTGATAAATATTTGCCACAGGTTTATAGCGAGAAACAAATATTGCTGAAGTGTATATTGTTCTCACATTATTTAGAAGTTACAAAATTTGTTCACCTGTATATGTTTTGAGAATATTACCTGCACGTGTATTTATAGCAGTGCTTAAGATGTTTAAAAGCTGTTATTATGACGTATGATGTGGTGATAATAACATTCTTAAAACAATGTATAAGTCTTTGAATAGATGAGAGCTTCACCAACGTTTATTTGAAATGGGTTAATATTTAAAATGTGTTGAGTGGATGTGATAATTTCTCAACATCATGTAAACATTATTGTAGTGGTACTGAAAGATAGTGGTACTGCTTGAAAGATGTGAATTCAATATACATGTACTTGTATTGCTGTAGCCAATATGCTGAATGAATATCAAGGAAATGTTACGTACCAGTGTTGATAACATTTTCAAAACGTGTTATTAATGTTTGAATCAACGGAAAGTAAACTTACGTTTAAATAATTCACTTTAACGTAAAATTTCAATATATAAAACTCGCTTATTAAATAAATATATTTTACGAGATTCAGTTCTTCAAAACATTATAGTAACAACATTTTATTGATAGTTCCAAGTTCAAATGAAAATGATGTTGACATAATGTACTTGTAAAACTGTAGCTACCTTGATCAGAAAATATCGTACTAATATTATACTAATATATTTGTGACATTCTTAAAACTATTGCTGACGTATAAATGCGTTGAACATAACGTCATAAGTTGTTATTAAAAATCACAATTTGACGTTTGAGACATATTTGAGAAAGAGGATAAACAAAGCACACCGATGTTCTCAAAATATCATTTTAACATTGTTGTTTTGTTTGTGACATGTTTCGATGATGTTTCGGAATCAAACTAATTTTAGATGTAAAAAACGTCGAATAAATATAAAAAGTCAAACATTCTGATAAATGCATTTCCATCGACATTTGGGTCCAGGAAAGTGTCTACAATGTTTACGAATCACAAAATAACGTTTGAAAATTTTGCCAAAAATAACCTTGTTAAAATAAAATCAATTTTCAATTTGATGCAGTGAAAATGTTATTCCTGTCTAACTGCAAGGAATGTTTCAAAATACTATGCTTAATATGAATGTTGTGACTGTTGGTCGGTGTTGTATGACAGTGTTCGCATGTTATTGTAATGCCGTTATTTCAATGCACAATGTTGTAAAAATATCATTGCAATGTCGCTTTGACCTCAATTTACATATTGACCCCAAGAGGGAGTGGGTATCACGTATTGTTGCAGTTCTGTTATTTTAATCACCAAACTTTTCACTTTTACTCAATAGAGATAGCCTTTTAGAGTACGTCAATGAAACATAATGTTGTAGAGTTTGATGATTCAAAGTTTCAGAGAAACAAATTGACTAAAATAGTGAAAGTAATCCAATACAATAATTTTCTTCGTGTGCTTACTGTGACTAAGGAGGAGAGTGATATAGGAGCACATAAATACGATCCATAGACTACACAAGATAGCAAACTGTGGCGTATAGCAGGTGTTTATCTACGTTGTACTACTCCCAAATGTGCATTAACCCATCGGTGCCACCGCAGCAAATAAATTTCCTGAGACAGCAGTGATAAATCCCCGCACTTCACAAATATTTGAATAATACAACTTTAATAGGTGTTCAGGCTGCACAGAAAAAAAGATGTTCGACATGTCCTCTTTCGTTTTCCTTTTCAATTTTAGTGGGTTGACAAATGAATTTTTGAGAAATTAACACCAAAAGCAGACCACCCCTAAAATGAAGGAAATTTCACTGCCTGAAAAAGTAGCCATTTTGAAAATGCATCTTTCTGCAAAATGGCTCAAATAGTGCCACTTTCGGACCAGATTGCACCCAAATTGCTCAGAATTGGAAGCCCTGAGTCCGGCCAGAGGTTCAGTGGCATATTTCTTCAATTCTCCAGTTCCATGGCTCTCATGACCCTTTAATGTAGAATATTTTGAGTGTGTTACTGTAGCGGATGTCCATCACTTATTCTATTGAAGGTGACGTTAGAAGCGAAGATTTCTTATGAACCCTAGAGGGCGTTGGGCCATCATCCTCTTGCTCGCACGTTTTGCATTTCGCTAAAGTTCGTCGAAGAAATCCACTGACATTTGTTTGAATTTTATGATACGCCCAATGTTGTAGTACATGTTCTGGGTTACTTGTAATTACAGCTTATGTGTTAAGATGTATACGGAGGGAGATACATGTAGAAATAATCATTTTGGGCACGATAAACATCGAGTACATGTATGTAAATTTGACATGTCGGACCATGGTCAGTTCGGTCAGTTCCACACGTGTATGTATAGCGTATTATGAATAGGAGGATTTTGGATATATAATGTTGAAGTATGTACCTGAAGAGTTGAATTTGGAAGATAGCTTTGACATTTGGTGTGTATTTCAGGGCATGGTTAAGACACATTTTTTTGACTCTTGATAGAGTGCTCATATTGACTCAAGGCATTGTTTTGGATTGTAAATCGTCCGGTATATTTACTTCACTTCACCTTTTAATGAGGATTCTTTTAAGCCAGTTCACATGCAGATGGTTATTGTATTTACTGTACCGTATTGTTGATTGCAGATTGAACCACAGTCACACAGTAACAGTCACCACAGATACAACGCACACTATAACAGCACTGTTAAACTTGCTGTCAGTCATAACTCGTCATTAAAGTGGTATGATACGTCACTGTTTTTGGAATTTTTTCTGAGAGTTTACCAGTCACAGTAACTTTTATTAATGAGTTCGGCGGACGTATTACTGGTCTACTAGGATGCACCCTTATGTGTGTTCCGATTTCAGAATACAATGGTGGATGTAATGCCTTGGATTCATTTATTGCAGGAACATGTGGACGATTGCCCTGGGGATTCATTTGTTGCAGGAACAAGTGGAAAATTAAGATTGCAGTGAAGCTGCATGTTGATTGGAGGCAAATAAGACGTGAAGTTCAGTGAAGTTATTGTGATTATTCATTTAATTGTACATCAACATAACTTAGTAAAAACATTGCTTATACGTTTCGTTAAAAAGTCATACAGATGTCATAAAAATGTTTGCAAGACCATGTTGCTCTAGTATCATTCACAAAAATGACAGTATTGCCACGAACACATTAGTTTGATGTTTCAACGTAAGGCTAATGAAACATTGCAAAGACATTTCGCCAACGTTACTTTAAATAGAAAACGTCATTAAAACGTTTCTAAGACCATTTTATGAAAACATTAGGCATAACGTGTCTATCACGTTGCAAAACATCAATGTGTTTGCGGGGAAAGAGCACAATTTGCCTCTCTCCATTTACCAACTCAGCAGCAAACAGATGTCTCACTTTTTGTCAAGTGTCAAATCTCGGGAAAAAAGCACGCAGAAATAGCCAAAAACAAAAAATTCACCAGCGGCATGCCGGGTTTCAAGTTGGTTAGACAACTGAAACCCGTGCGCAGTGCCCCTCTGCTCAAGAAGAATGTGCAGTCAAGAGTAAGTAAATTGATCAAGAGTTTGGATGACGGAAATAATTCTCACATAGGCCTGCAATTGTTTTATTTTGTAATGGCTATCTCTCGTGCTTTTCAGTTGTTTATCCAACATTACTGTCCTAATCCGGATATTGTTTTTCTAAGAGAGATTAATGATTCGCCGGCTTCCTCTCCCGTGTGTAAAAGGTGGCCATACCAAGCTAACTGTACTCCTGGAAAATCTAGAGGATAGGTGTAGCGATTATCATTAAACCTAACTATTGTGTGCTGAGTCAAAATGTTGTTTTTGATAGTTACGTACTTTAAGTTCAAGTTAAACGTGATTGAAGTGTTTATCATTAATTTGTATAAAGGGGATATTCCACAGGTTGATAACGTGACTCCCAACAATGTCTAGAACAGCACTGTTCTCAACAAATCGATGCGGATATTATTGCTGGGGATTTCAATTCCGCTACTGATCCAATCTTAGACAGATTGAATGTAAATAATGAAAAGAG